CGATGTTGGTCAAGCGATTTAGATCAACATCTCACTCACCCGGACTATACCCACCATTACCCAACTTTTCCCTCTGTTTCCGTGCCCAGTCACACTTAGTTACCTACCCCACCTTCTCCTCACACACACTCTCTCTCTCCGCTTGGAAGTTGATTGTGCAGTCGCATCCAATAAAAGCAGACGAAGATGATTATTATCAAACAGATCACACAGCCGCAGTTGTGCGCGGCATTGTTGCTCTTATTTCTCAAGTAGCCTGGGTTCTGATCACAGATTTTTCTGCCCCAGGCGTCATATACCGATTGCCGCAATCAGCTCTACTCACTGCTCACCGAAACACTACTTGGTAAGCTTCAAACTGTCACACAAACTAACTGAGATGATGTATATTTCACACACCCGATTAAGGGCATGCCTACGCAAAATTAGGTGATTACTATACATGGATGGAAAACCCGATTCACTCTTATATCGTTAGTTGTGAGCTGACAAATCATGTCAAGCAACCCTGGGTTTCTTCTAATTCTCTGCATTTGTTTGACACTAAACAACCTATACCAGCCGACAGCGGGTGCAACGAAACGAACGCCCTGTCAGCTCCGTTTTATATCAGAGGCATCGCGATATCTGGTCGATCAAACTGGCATCTCTGATGAAATTTTCTTCCGAATCGGAAAACACCCTCGAAAGTTATCCTTTTTCATTTGATGCATTGCTAAACAACATACCTTACCTATTTTACTTTACTACCGCTGACTCCTTGGAAAGGATAAGCCGGCTCCAGACATCGTCTTCATGGAGCTCCTTGACAGTTTGATACCGGAGATGTCACCAGCGTCACTCTGCGTTTTTCATTTTGAGGGTGCACCTCTAGCCTTTTCACAACCAGGTGCGAACTGCAAGGTAGAAGGAAGTAATCCCTCGCCTTGGAAGTGAGGAGTTCAATGACTTTCGTTTCGAAAGGCCAGCCACATCAACCGTTGTCACGACACCGTGATTGGGCTTATGCGGCTTTTAAGCATGAGTCAGGTGACCAACCTGAAACCTATCACACTCTGGTAGTGCCGCCGCTGTTTGTTCGCGACTGCTTCATTGTTGCGGTATGGCACAAGTTATTCACAGCTAACCTTCTTCTGTGAAGAGATCCTCCTATCCACAACCCGAGGACGCATCTGGTAGCATTCGGCTCTGCCTAACCCGATGGTATCCAGAGATCATTAGAGTGATTTGTGAGGTAGAACATTCACCCATCTACAACCAACGAGAACTATCTTGAGACCTGAACAAAGTACATCGAAGAACCGTTCGCTCACGATCATTTGTGCACTTCGGATTCCATACGTCCCGCGGTTTCTCTCAACAGGGTCATGTTCATAAGAGGAGTTCATGGAGGTAGTATCGATGTGTTATTGAGTTTCTGTGGGTTTTTATATTTCAAAGTTGGTTTTTCAACCGAGAAATGTTATAGTTCTCATATTTGATGATTTTTTGGAAGAGTTGCCTTCAATTTTTGAACTACGTTCTCCGTTTTATCGTTTGCCAGGAGGAGGCATTCAAACGGGATTGTCAGCTGATTGAGAATCGTCTAATCGATTCTCCCGTGGTCATTTCGCACTTGCAAGAAGGCAATCGCTCTGTGTTCGACAATTTGCACATATCACCCATCAAAGTAAGTTAGTTTTTATAATATCGTAAGAGACCTACTACATTTGCACTCGCGTTATCTACCGCTTACTTTCCTGTTGTTGTTGCTTAACCATTTGCAGATGCACGTCAGCTTCTCCCTCACGGGCAGTACCGAAGGCAAATCGAACGCATTCCCAAGCGAAGTGTTGAACGTTTTCCTACAGTCTTTAGGAGTCGTACTTACTGACGTGCAAGATGTTATTTTCAAGTGAGTTTACCGTTCTCCTTACTGAATACTGGAACGGGTATTCTCTATCTTTGTTTTTCACCGGAATTTTCTTCCAAGTTGATCATATAGTCAATCTGTTATGTTACAGCCCCTCCCCCCGCTCGAGGACTCGAAAAATGGAGTGAACTCTTCAAGGGTTATCCATTTGGTTAAAACTCTCATAAGTGCGTTGCACTCGGGCAAACGTCATTGGCTGAATTCGACATTGCATGTTGCCTTAGCCACTGGTTAAGGCGTACATCGGCCAGCAACCAACCACAAAGTGCGACATACCGAGAAAGGGAGAGAGAGAGAGAGATGGTCATTTGCATTACCAAGACCTACATTATGACTGCTGGTTCGGGTTTGCCCAGAGAAATGGGAACATATTGAAAAATGCTACCGTTCATCAGTTGATTGTTGTCCGATGATAAGCATCTTGTACTG